AGAGAGAGAGAGTGTGTGTGTGGTTTCTCAAAGAGTGTTTGGGAGAGAGAGAGAGAGAGAGAGTGATTGGGTTGGTGGAGATTATATAGAAGGAGTTTTGCACAGAAAGGGATTTTCTTTTTATTAAAGGGTTTATTAATTTATGGAAAAACATTTATTTGGCTGCAATTATTTATTTATACGTCATTTGTGCTGTTTTGCAGAATTACCGATAATATTTACTTGTATTTAATACGTAGATTTTATTAATATATATATATTATTAATATAAAATTGTACCAACTAGTATCCCAAAGTGTTTTGGTTTAATTTATTGATTAACGGTGCTAGTGGATGGAGGATGCAGAACATAATTGGCCTGATTTGTTGAATTCTGGTGACGAGTCATTGGTTTCGGTGGGGCGTGAATGTTGTTGGATTTGGACTCATTATCCACTGCTTTAAATTCAAACTTACTTTTCTAGGCTAACTGGTCGCCCATTCTCTTTGGAATCCCAATATATATAGAATTACATTAATTGCATTTTTTATTTATAAATCATTGTATATTTTGCCATTTAATTTTAAAAAATTTATATATTTTATCATCCAAGCAGTTGTTAATTGATAATTGACTTACACTTTATATCATTGAAATAGATGATCATTACTATTAACATGTAATGTTAATCGTGTAATGTGATATATTATATTATGTTCATATTCACATTTCACATTTCACATTAGTAATTCAAGTCAACAATCAAATGTACATATTATTTCAACTATAACATTATACATTTTATTAATTATTATTGATTTTATTAAAATGTGTTGTGCATGAGAAATTACTTATGAGTTTTTAGTTGTTTATGAGTATTTTTAAACAGATGTCTAGTTTGACCTGTAAGAGGAGATGTATATAAGATTTATTTTAAAACTTAAGTTTTATAAATTAATTTCTTAAGAAATATTAGAGTAAAGTTAGAGAGAGGATCTTTGGAGCTAAGATCCTTTCTTCTTGTTTCCTTCCACTTAAGGTAGGCTTGGTGGTTGAATAGTGATTCTAGCTCCATAATTGAGAATCAAAGTTGTGATTGGGTTGTATAGAGCTTTCAGGTGATAGTTTCGAGTTTGTCTTCTTTATTTTTCTTCGTTTCTCTGCTATCCAAAGGTAAAAGAAGGTAGTGTACTAGTAGCCACCTTATAGGCAAGCCGAATACCCCCCTCACGATTTTACTTTTGGGTTCATCACTCAAAAGACCTTTCGATCATTGAAATATGTTTGTACTATATAAGTTGTTATTTCTTATTTTATTTTATCAATGTGAGACTTGTTTGTATCTCAACAAACTTTCATCACATTCTTAAAAAAGGAAACAAATCTCTAAAATAAATACAATATATTTTAATTTTAAACAATATTCTAAAATAATTAATATCTTTTAAAATTTAAATAATATCTTAGAGATTTAAATTTGAAAATTTGAATTGCTTTTCCACGTGTTAAAATGCTATCCTGCTTCTCTGCATGCTTCATTTGTTCATCTGTTTTCATTCGGCGAGTCTTCCGTGCTATTTTAAGAAATGTCCAAAAATCACGAGTTTGCTATTTTTTTTTTGAGTTGGCATTTGACTCCATTAATCTTTTTTTTTTTTTGAGTCGGCATTTGACTCCATTAATCTTTTAATCAATTCTTATAATATTCTGATTTACATTTCCAAGTATAGAAGTCAAATCTTTATATCTAGATTGCTATCTGTATAACGAGATAATGAACTAAGTACAAAGACGTATATTTATTTTACATTGACTGAATGAACAAAATTTCAAATCATCCCTGCACAATAACAAAAGCAAAGAAGAGTGATTCATATTAAATCACGTGACGTGACCACTTCATGCTAAACTGAAATTCCTCTAATGTGTCAATATACTTCAAAATTTCCATCAAACCATTGCCTCTCAAGGTCTTTGGCTTTTCAGACTCACTTTGAATCTTAACACCAACACCCTTTAAGTAATGTCTCCAGCATCTGAACTCAGCTTCATCTTTACAGCAGCCTGGATTTTTTTCTCTATTCAACAATTCATCACAAAGGAACTGCAAGTTCACAATAATTGAACACTCAATTTCATCAAATGCTAACGACACTACTGTTGTTGCATTCACCTCCCCTCTACTATTCAAAATTATAGTAACCACAATTTCTTAAAACTAAAAGGGAAGTCAGCACAATCTTAATAACAGATTTTAATTGGGGCAACATATTTTGTTCAATATTTTATGTAATGTGTTTATATTTTGGTCTATAGACATGTCTAAAACTGACCATTAAAAATTAATCTGTGTTTATGGGATGTAATTTCCTTAATTAAATATTATTTTAATATTAATGAGAATCGTTCTTGTAATCACTAGGTCGACATGTGTTCATTTTTTTTTTAAAAGTTGATTTTTATATTACCTCTATGAAAGCCCTATTTGTGGAAAGTGCTTTTACTCGCAGAATACCCGGATGACAGCTACAAAGTGAACCATCTAAAAGGTATGGGTAAGCAAATGCTGGTGTTGTTGAACTGAGAGACCATATCAGGCATTTTACTTTAGGTGGAGGAGAAGTAACTTCTTCTTGTACTTGTCCTAGCCAGAGAATCTCCTGTGCTTTGAAACACTAGTTGAAGAACCCAAAAAAAAGCTCACTTGAATATCTCAGGTCTCAAGCTTCAAAAAAGATATCAATATCATATAGGTGAAATTATATACCTGTCCATAAAGATAAATTAAATGCAATGTTGGTTGGTTGAACATCTCAATACAACTCCTCACTGCAACATCCATACCAGGGCGACCTCCAAGGCGTAGTTTGAGTGTGACAGTTGGCTTTATATAAGATGTCATACCATGGAAAGATGGAACAACATAACCTTCATAATTGAGCTGTTCAAGTTTTGGGACATCAACCTCGACATCCAGTGGTTTTTCAAAACCCTTGTTTGACAAGGACATAGTTCTGAGATGAGAACACGCAACCTCTATCCTAGCACATGAGTAGAGCTCAGGTGCAAAGTCTCCAAACTGGCATGTTCAAAAACAAATTCTGGTCCATAGTTACCGGACCTTGTGATACATCAGAAACGTGCACCTTAGCTTGCCCACTTAACTTTCAGATGAGGGTACGAAGATTTGGCGCTTCAATCTTAAGCTTGTCCTCAAATTCTTGTTCAATTTCAACATAATTAAGCCTGGGAAGATTGCAAATTTTAAGGGACCCCAACCCCATGTCACCAATTTCTTTGAGAACAATTTTCTCAAGCAAAGTGGAGTAAGATAGGATCTTCTGAATGATAGAACTACTTGCATCAACCCTCAACAAAGCTAGCTCTTTAAGGCAATTAAACGGTGATCAGCAGCAAATGATGGGTGGATAGAGCAACCCTGGATATTGAGTGTGAGAAAGGATTTTGCAGAGAAAATATCCAAAGGCAAGGAATAGGCAATGTCTGAAAAACTGAGTTTGAGATGCTTGACGCAATTTATTAAAACTAAACTGATCCAATCATTGATATAAGCAATTATGGAGATGTAAAGCATATCCTTGATGTCAAAAGGTGGTCTTTCTCGTACGAAGTGCAAGTCCAATACAAAGCTGTGAATGATTGGATACTCCTGAGGTGATCGTAGAGTGGACAAGGAATCATCAACCCAAGGCATGAAACTTTGGAGATTGTGGGTAATCTGATCAAAGGAAAAGTGCAATGCAGAGAGTGAATTCCAGAGGTTATGCCAATACTTGGAGACAGTGGCCATGCGAGCTCGAGCAGCATCATGAGTTGGTAAAAAGAGAAGGATTTGCAGCAAAATGGGGTCTGGTAATTTTTTTTTATATTATCAATATCAACATCAGTATCTGCTTCCCTATTTTGTGATCAGAAGAAAGGGTTTTGTTTTGTTAGAAAATAAATAAGCTCAGTTCAGATTTCAGAATATGATGAGTTAAGGTTCGCGAAAGAAAAGGTAATCTGGACCGTTCCTCCATTCATGGGAACAGTCAAAGATTGTTTGTGAAAATGAAAACGGATTCCTGCATTCCTGGTTCGGAAGCTGGAAGCCGTTCGGCTAAAGAGGTTAAGTCAAAGCTTTCAGTTTACTAACGTTGTTACATAAATAATTTTGTAATGCATTTATTATTATTTAATAACTTTATCAAGTGATTAATTATTTATTACATTACATTATTTAACCTTATTATGATAAAAGATGGTAAAATGGTCAATAGATTCTTGAAGGATTTTTTAAAATATTTATGTTCGTAAATTTTAACCTTATTATGTAGGTTAATCTTTCTATTATATATATTTAGTTATTAACCTCGTTAGTTTCTTGAATAGTTAATAATCAAGTGTTAGGTTGACTTATTTTCTTTTTTCCAGTTGGTTGTTCTCTCTCTTAATCACTTAACATTAAACATAATGTAGGAATTTAGTATTTTCTAATAAGCAATGGTCATGTTTAAATATTCTAACCATGACTATTGTTTAAAATGGAAGGTTGTTATTGAATTTTATCAAATTTTCTATAGTTTAATTTTTTTATTTCAATCTTATTTAATTTCTTCGTATGTTATGATTACAAATTTAGGTTTGTAAATCTTAAATTATTGAATTTAAAATTTAGTAAAATAAATGATCGTTCTGAAAGATCTCAAGTAAGGATGCATCAATTAAATATGAGTATTTTTGTCATGTTTAATGAATCGTAAAACTAAAAGACCTTTCGATCATTGAAATATGTTTGTACTATATAAGTTGTTATTTCTTATTTTATTTTATCAATGTGAGACTTGTTTGTATCTCAACAAACTTTCATCACATTCTTAAAAAAGGAAACAAATAATCTAAGGGCTTTCATGGAGAGATTCGGAAAGATGACGTTGTCGATTCGGAACCTAGACCCGGCCGTGGCAATGCATCACCTCACCACTGCATTACGGCCCGGGCCTTTTGTCAATAGCTTGTGCAAGAAGCCGCCTCGCGACCTGGACGACCTGCGGCAGAGGGCCACGAAATACATGCAGATGGAGGAACTAGCCGAGTTCCGCAACCAAAACCGACCCGACCTACCTTTCGCC